GGGATAAATGCTTAAAAACCCCGACAAATAAGAGCCTTGTCGTGTTTAAGAGTGACCATAATAATAATAATAATTAAAATTGAATAAGTTGACATGCGTTTACATCATGTCAACTTATTAAATTAATTTTTAATAATTTTATTTAGTGATTTAGTTATAAGAAGTTATGTATGTATCAAAAGTTATTTCAGGTTCCTAACCAACCTCTAAGAGATAAATGCCTGAATATCAGTGATGATGCATGCCTGATGGATAGGTTTCGTATTATTATAACAACAATTCTTGTAAGTCTCATTGAGACCATCTTATTCAATGGGAACGAGTCATCTCTTGTACTAGGCTTCAATGGAAGACATCTATAAAGTGTCCAGGAACAGGAGAAGTGAAATTCACAACCTTGTCAAGAGCAGACTGAGGTCGACAGTAAAACAAAATTTGTTTTGGTTCTGTCTTTATCTTGTTTTCATTTGCTCTATTACAATTATGAATCAGTCATCATTATCTTTAGGAGTGAATTTTTTTTTATGTATTTTTTATTATGTATATTTTTTATGTAGTAAAAAAATAAACTTTTTTCTTAAAACTACTTCAATACTTAATTTTTTTACTATTTCATCCTTTTATAATTTCCCTCATGAACCTTTAATGTATGAACAGTATAAACTTAAATAATCTGAAAAGGGAGTTCAGATTCCCGCCTTAAAAGGTCATTTTACACTAAAAACATCGAAAAATTTACTCTGATGTATCCGTAAAACATAATACCCAAGGAGGTATAGAAAAAAATAAAATTTAAACGGTGAAATTCCGAAAAAAACTAAAATTTAAACAATGGATTCCCGCTTAAAATAAAATGTGTGTCAGGTAAAATATACAAGGTCGACCTTGAATGCAAAAACGTGACCATGAAAAATTTTTACAAAATTAAATTTTAAAACTGGTGGCCTTGATTTCAAGGTCGACCTTGGTTGAAAAATCATGACCATGAAAAATTTCACAAAATCGAAATGTAAAACCAATGGCCTTGTATTCAAGGTCGACCTACTTTAGAATAAATCGTAAACGTTGGATTTTCGCGGTCATTTTTAACTTAATTTTTAATCGGACATTATTTTTCCGATGTATCCGTAAAACATAAGATCCAAGGAGGTAAAGGGTAAAATATTTTTCAATCAATGGATTCGCACTTAAAATAAGGAGTACAAAATAAAAAACAAATAATTAATATTAACAAAAATAATTATAATACAATAAATTATACTAAATTACAAAACTTTTGATACATACATAACTTCTTATAACTAAATCACTAAATAAAATTATTAAAAATTAATTTAATAAGTTGAGAGTGTGGATTTGTTGATCATACAGAACTGTGCATGGACCTACTGTCGTAACCAGGCTTGGAATGTGATTGTACCACTCTTTGGGTAATCCATCCATTCCATATTCTCGGCATATACTCCAATGGAGATATTGACATAATTTCTTCTAAGATTCGGCTTTGCTATCATAAGTTGCAAGTTGCCCTTCTTCCATTATCTCGTTTTCTTTATTTTCTTTGACGATTTGTTTTGCCCTTTTCAGAACTCCTTTTTTTGTAATTTTTTCTTCCACATGTATAACTTGGGCTAAGATAAGGTCCTCTTGATGGGATTCTATGTATTTTCCCATTCCAATAATGGCATTCTGGTATGCTGCTTCTATTTGTCGTAATCCTCTTCCTCCATCTTTCCGTAATTGCTATAAATTTTATAGATTCTAATAATAAAAAAAAAATTATTATTATTAATATTATTTTACGTTTCAAATTTTTTTTTGTTAACCCAGGAGAAATTCAGCATTTCGCACTAAACTCTCCCCACCTGGTAGCAGGAAGAGTGTTGGGGGACTCAGACGAAGTCACTACCCAACTAAAACTCCTGGATGTGCTTTGCTACGCTTTTTCCTGGGAAGTAGGGGCAGTCGCAGGAGTATGACTCCCATTTCAGCCTCAACCTCAACCCTTCTCTCAAAGCCGAGAGAGCAGATTCCCCTCTGGCATAGGCCGTTGCAGAGATCCACTTTACCCAATTGGGATACTCCCCTCAACCATGTGGGAGGTATTCCTGAAGTATCACTTTCGGTCCTGCCTCCCATAATTACACATGTACATATACATACATAATTTAATACAGTATTCATGTTAGAGTGAATTCATATTCAGATAAATGAGAAACATTTGATCTTTCTGCGACTATCCTATGATAATCCCAAAAGTGAAAATTTCTTTAGTCTAATTGAAGATATTTTGTGCAAAGGTTTAATTCTTTGTTCCAATCAGGTTTGGGTAAATTGTCCAAGATCCTTATTCTAAGATGCCAACTACCATAGGATTTTGGATTTACTCTCAGGCACTGTTCTGTCAATTGTAAATCTTTTTCCAATAGTTTTTGATAACTCTCCAAGTCCTCGTCGTTTGTCAACGACAAAAATATTTCTCTTCAATAATTCCATAATGTTATTATATCCGGATTTCCTGTAATAAATTACCGGTGGATATTTAAACCTTCTTCGTCGTGCATTTGTGAAGAACGTTTTTTTAATATTTGATTCATTATTTTTTTAAATTCTATTGCCTTTTTCTGTTTCTCTGGCCTTGCGATTTCTTTTTGTTCTTCTGTCGTTCTTATTTTGACTCTCCCGTGCATTTTGTAATTTCTTTAAAAACAAATTTTATTTGAAATTAATACAGGAAAAATAACTCACAATGGGAAATAGTAAAAATAAAAGTAATATGTGAACAACCATAGACATCAATTTAAACTTAATTATATCGATGGTAAATAAAGTGTCATTAGAAAAATGTATTTCACTTTAACGTGGAACTTATAAAAACATGGAAGCTTTTAACGTAGCCAATACATGGATATTTTCGTTAAATAATTTGTTTTATGTAAATTATTGGTTTGACAAGTAAGTAACTGCGCATTTTACCAACAGATAGTTTGTCCGGTTTTTTGAGTACGTTTACGTTTATGTACAAACATGAACTTTTGGTATGTTATTACTTGGTTCCTTCTGTAACATTCAGTACCAAAATTTCATTCAAATCTTAAATAGTGCGCGAGCAAAAGACATTTAAACATGGGGAGCCAAAGCGAGCATTTCCTTCATATTTTGCTTTTTTATTTCTGAAAGGGTGTTAATGCTTCACAAGCCAATAAAAAGTTGTGGGGCGTGTAGGGTGATGAAGCCTCAATAGAACGGCAGTGTCAAAACTGGTTTGCGAAATTCCGTTCTGGAGATTATCCTTTGAAAAATGAGGAGCGCTCCGGGCGCCAATTGGAGGTTAAAGATGAGCAAATAAAGGCCCTCATTGATTATGATCGGCATAGTTCGACTAAGGACATTGTAAAGAAGCTAGATGAGTCACATACGTGCGTCAAAAACCGTCTGCGGCGTCTTGGATCCCAAAAGAAGCTTGATGGGTCTTTGCGATATGCTTCTTAAATGCAATGCGAATGACCCTTTTTTGAAAGAATGGTCACCGGAGATGAAAAGTGGGTTTGTTTATGATGACTTTTTGAGAAAAAGATCCTGGTCTAGGCAAGGAAACAGGCACCTTAGAACTTCTAAGGCTGACATTCACCAAAAAAGTTATTGTTATCATTTTGGTGGGATTTCAAAGGCATAGTCAACTTTGAGCTGCTGCCAGGAAGTCAGACCATAAATTCAGAGGTTTACATTCGACAATTGACAAATTTAAATGATACCATCCAAGAAAAATGATCGGAGCTAGCCAGTAGCAAAGGAATTGTCTTTCACCACACTAATGCCAGGCCCTCCTCATCTTTAGCCACTGGACAAAAACTACTGGAGCTAGGCTGGGATGTTTTGCTGCACCCTCCATATTGTCCCAAACTAGCTCCAAATAATTATCATTTTTTCCGATCTCTAAAAAATTTTTTGAACGGACTAAAATTCCAAAACGACAATGAGGTCAAAACTGCATTGGACCAGTTTTTTGCTCCTAAAACTAAAGAGTTTTATGAAAAAAGGAAAATGATTATTTGGCGCCATTTATTATTTCCATGATGTTTGGACTTATCTTAGATCAGGAGAAAATGATGATATTAAAATGTGGCAAGGTTTACCCTATGGTTTATTATGGTATGTTTTCATATTGGCCGCATTTCAAGTACATTTTTTTTCATATATTTTGCATGGAATTTAAGAAATGCTTGGAAAACAAGAGGATCCCATAAGAAATCTAATAATTTTAATATTTCAGGACCTGGAGGTATCGTTTAACCTCAACACGGATCTCTTCCTCCCACGACCGTGCGACCTGGAACGACGACGGCCGTACCCCAGCCCGGTCAAACGCCGGCCAAACAAAATCGAGTCCCTGCAATACCTAAACCCATGGGATTAGATCCTCTCACAATTCTTCAAGAAAGAGAAAACAGGTATAATTGGCATTATTAGCTGTTAGAATTTTTATCACGTGACATTTCGTGGCGATTAACATTTTGCTTTGCATCCACTTTGTAGGAAAGCAGCTCGGATCGCAATGAGAATCCACGTACTTAACAATTTACCAACTTTGATGGCTGAAAATTTAAAACTTCGAGCTTCGAAATCGAGTTGAGATCATTGAGACTTTTAAATTTTCAAAGGCAGTTAAAAAGCGAAGTTAGTTAAATTATTTTTCATTAAATTTAAACAAATTTTTTGCAAATTTCTTTTTAATTTATAGCTTGTCTTTTAGATTATATCTTGTACGCGTCGCGATACCACGTTAGAAACTGCCGACAATGTAAAAGCGTACAAACGAATCAAACATCAAGGTTTGAGAGAAGCAAGAGCAACTGAAAAACTTGAGAAACAGCAAAAATTAGAAGCGGAAAGAAAGGTAATCAATCATTGACCTAATGACCTCTTCCTCTCTCTCTCGTGTTTAACTTTTTTGTTGGTTTTAATTTTAGCGATGGAAGAAAATTCTCAGCGAACCTTTCATGAAATTACCTTCTAAAAATAAATTACCGGATTATTACGACATAATAAAAAAACCTTTGGATAAAAAGAAAATATTTAACAGGATAGAAGATGAAAAAGTAAGCTGGGGGGAAGAGGTGGTGGGAAAAAAAGGGGGGAAAAGTTTCATTCTGACTCTTGTCATTGTTGTTTCAGTATTCGGATTTTGACGATTTGGAAAAGGATTTTACTCAAATGTGTAAAAATGCTCAAATATACAACGAAGAACCTTCTCTCATACACGAAGATTCAATCGTCCTTCAATCCGTTTTTACGAACGCGAGACAAAGATTGGAACAGGATGCGGAAACGGATGAGGATAAAGGTGATGATGAGAGAATCCCTTAAAAAAGGATTTTTGTTCGTTGAATTTTATTTATTTTGGATTTTTTTTAATTTTCAGACGGAGGAGACGAGGATGGAAATTCCGAATCGGAATCCGTTAAAATGAAAATAAAAATAAAAAGTGGAAAAGGAGGAAGAGGAAGCACGAGAAGGAGGAAAACTCAACCAAAGTACACGAATAGCGATGACAAAGATGATTGATTGGAAAGAGGAAA